GAGCACAGCCCCGTCCGCCGGCGGCAAACCTGCTCCGTGCAGACCACAACCTGCGGGGACCCGACCTGGGTCCCGCCACTCCCGCAGGGACAGAGTGAGCTCGGTTTTGTTTCTAAAAATGAGGGGAAAGGACCCGCCCGCCCGCCCCCCACATCTCCCTGCAGCCTCGCTGTGACGGGGGCCCAGGGACATCCCTGGCCCCTGGCTTTGGGGTGTCCCGTCCGCCTGTCCACACGCACCGGGCGCCGGCGGGAGCTGTCCAGCAGCGGCCGCCCTCGGGCCGGGCACTCACCGCAGGGGGCGTAGCGGCTGCCGGCGCCCGGCAGCTCCTTGCTGGCGTTCCTCATGCCGGCGCTGCCGGCGGGACGGGGCGCGGGATCGAGGGACGCGCCGGCCGGTGATGGCGGTGATCCGGGAGGCGCGCACCGCCGGCGGAGCTGCAGAGGCCGGTCCGCGCCCGCTCCGCCGGTCCGTCCGCCTCCGCCGGGCCCACCCGCGGGCGTCGCCGCTCAGGCCGGGCGTGCAGGTCCCACCGGCGCCGCGGAGGGAGGACAGGTCCCGGCCCCGCCCGCCCGGACCCCTGGCCGCCGCTCACCGCCCGCCCGGGTCTCGGCGGTGCCTCCCGGCGCCAAAGGCCACAGTCCGCCCGGCGGGCGGCGGCCAATCACCAGCTCCCCGCGCCGCGCGCAACCACAACAACGCGCGTCGCCCGGGCAACGGCCGGGCGGCCAACCGGCGGGCGCGGCTGGAGTTCCGACAGCCAATCGGAGCAGCCTGTGGGACCTCATAGGCCAATCAGGGGCAGGGGCGGAGCGCGGGCCCTGCCAGTCAACCGCCCCGAACCCGAGTGGGCGGGGCCGCGGAAGGGGGCGGGGCCGCAGAAGGGGCGGGGCGGGGCCCGTCTCTGAGTCCTCCTCCCACCCCTACCTGCCCCACCCCGAGTTTCCCCAAAGCGCCCGGAAAACTCTCCTCTTTCCTTAGTGCATTTGGAAAAGGGGACGAACACAGGCAGACAGGCGGCGTACCAGCTGTAAAATTACCCTGTGAATGTCTTTTCTCCAACCTTCATTTCTCACTATTTCTGGTCCGTGAGCTGAGACACTAAAAAAACCTTTGGCCGAAACCGGTTTGGCTCCGTGGATAGAGCGTGGATAGAGCGTGGATAGAGCGGCCTGCAGGCTGGGGGGTCCCGGGTTCGATTCCAGTCAGGGGCATGTATGTGCCTTGGTTGCGGGCACATCTCCAGCGGGAGGTGTGCAGGAGGCAGCTGGTCGATGTTTCTCTCTCATCATTGATTCTAATTTTCTATCCCTCTCCTTTCCTCTCTGTAATAAATCAATAAAATCTATTTAAAACAAACAAAAAACCTTGGTCAGTGGTCGCGTTTCTACGGAGCGGGCGCGAAGGCCTGGCAGGGCTGGACTGGGTCCGCGCAGGGATTGAGAGGGCTGGGCGTGCATCCTGCTCCCCAGCCTGGACCTCCTCTTTGCACATGGCTCAGCGCCCCCAGCGGCCGCCGCAGCCACTGCCGTTTTGTTACGGGAAAGCTGCCTGCCTCGCTGGCCTGGAGAGACCAGGATGGGCCTGGTGGGAGCAGAGCAGGTGAGCGCTGGGAACCCTCGGAGAAGCACAGGAAGAGCTTCGGTCTTGCTGAAAATGGATTTTTTAAAATATATATATTTTATTGATTTTATACAGAGAGGAAGAGAGGGATAAAGAGTTAGAAACATCGATGAGAGAGAAACATGGATTAGCTGCCTCCTGCACACTTCCTACTGGGGATGTGCCCACAACCAAGGTACATGCCCTTGACTGGGATCAAACCTGGGACCTTTCAGTCTGCAGGCTAATGCTCTATCCACGGTCTCGGCTGAAAATGGATTTTAAATCAACATCATTTAAGGGCCCTCAATTGGATACAGGTGCTGCTTTCATTAACCCAGGAATGCCTGGAAGTGAAGCAGAAGGCAGGGACCTAGGAGCGGGTGAGGAGCAAGAACACGTGGCGGGAACTCGCCGTAACGACGTGGTCCACACAGCTCTCCTTTGGGTACGACTGACACGCCAAACATTTGCAGATGGCAGATCACATCAGACTCCAGGGAAGGTGAACAAGAACACGCTATTTAGAACGAGAACAGCTCCGTGTCTTTATTGCCTACACGTTGCCACGCGTGGTCTTTCTGTCACGAGACAGTTCTCCGTGTTTAGAAGGATCCAACGTCTCCTCGCGTCTGACCTCACTTTGTGCACAATTTTATTCAGTTTTGTTTGCAGATGTTTCGATAAAACATTATAAATGTAAATGTCTTATACGCCTATCTATGTATAGGTGTCTATATATACTGTGTATGTTTTACAACATATGCTATATCTATAAGACGTTGCTGTATAGAGATATGGCCAGATTATTATGACCACCTGACGTTTGTAGGCACATTAGCTGTACTCTGCATCGCATGGGATACAGAAGCCGAAGGCCTGTTCGAACACCTTTTCTGTCTGCAGTCACTGAGATAAAATGTCTCCAATTTGTACAGGAACACAAGGATTGGACAGTCGAGTATTGGAAAAAAGCCATGTGGTCGGATGAATCACCTTTCCAGTTGCATCATGCAGATGGCAGAGAGAGAATTTCACAGAAACAGCGTGAAAGCATGCACCCCACATGCATGAGTACAACCCTTCAAGCTGGTGGGGGCAGAGTTGTGGTTTGGGGCATGTTTTTCTGGCATGATTTGGGCCCTTTAATTCGTGTGGAACAACGTCTGGATAGCACTGCATACCTAAGTATCATTGCGATCAAGTTCATCCCGTCATGTTGATGGCGTATCCCAATGGAGATGGCTTCTTCCAACAAGATGATGTGCCATGCTGCAGTGCTCGTACTGTGCAGGAGTGGTTCCAAGAACATGAGGGAGACTTTACCTTGCCTAGGTGGCCCCACAATCACCAGATCTCCATCCAATTATTATGACCACCTGATGTTTGTAGGCAAATTAGCCTTAGGAACGAAGTTAAAAGAGCCATCGGGCAGCTGGTTCCACAACCATCAGATCCCACAGAACTGGATGGTGCTATCCCTCGGGCACGGTGTCAGATTCCTCGCATCACCTTTCAGCATCGCGTGGAGTCAATGCCAAGAAGAATCACGGCAGTGTTGAAGGTGGCCCAATGAAGAACTGATGAGGTGGTCATAACAATCTGGCCACTCAGTGTACCTTATGTGGATGTCTCCTGTTTGTGACTATTTTGAGAAGAGAAAAAATGTTTCTGAATAAAATTCAAATTTTCAGAGCCCTCGACCCTTTCTGCGACCTAATCTCTCCTTGGCTCTGTTGTTGACTGACACCGTCACTTTCTGCTCTACTCACCCTGTGACACATGCCAACCCCAAGCAGCCAAGAGGCCATCACCCTGGGCCCACTCCTTCCCCCACTGGGCACGGAGCCTGCAACCCAGGCGTATGCCCCGACTGGGAACCAAACCCTGACCTCCTGGTTCATAGGTCAACACTCACCCACTGAGCCACGTTCCTTAGACCCGGCTCTCACAAACCCCAGTGTGGGAACCGCATTCATGCCCGCGTGGTTCAGGGTTCCGGTTCAGGGCTCCGGTTCTGGAGAAGGCCGCACACAAATGAAAAGAGACTAGATAAGTATTAATTTGGGAATATTGGGCGCCAGGCGGGAGCCCACCTCTAGGGGGAGGACTACCCCCTGCTCTGGCCTTACCATCCCTTTATTGAGACAGGTACACCCATAGCCCTTGGGCAGGAATCTCCAATAACAAATTCACATAAGATAGCAGAGGTGGAGGCTGCTTCAGCTAACAGTGTTTCCACTAAGCAGTGAGCGACCTAGCTCTGACCTTCCAGACTCGCAGGGGTCCTCAAACTTTTTAAAGTGGGGGCCAGATCACAGTCCCTCAGAGAGCTGGAGGGCCAGACTATATGAACTACTAATTCCTACTGTAACACCTCGGCTGCGCTCACTGCCCAAAAAACCTGGCGGGCCGGATCAGACTCCTCTGCGGGCGCATGTGGCCCGCGGGCCGTAGTTTGAAGACGCCTGTTCCAGAGCAATGGGGGTTGTTGACAATGGTCAGATTCCGGCACCCAAGGGACTTCAAAAGGTGGCGTCTTCTCTTTGAGATAACCTGAAATGACTGAGGATGAGCGTCCGGGGGAGAAATGGCTGTGGGTGGTGTCACACAGCCTTTCGGGTTTTCAGCCTCGTTGGGAAAACCAGGCACCGAGGGATGGGTTTCTTGACATCCCTGTCAACACCGTCTACAGGAAATCTAAGAAGCTAAGGGCGGCGACAACCATGAGGGGCAGGAGTGGCGTGAAACTGGGAGACCCCATCGCAGCCACCCTGCCACCCGACACCCCTGGCTGCCGAGGACCCCGCCATAAAGACGGTGCCTCGCCAGGAAGAGAATGGCTTCCGGGCGGAGGTGTTTATTTTTTATTTCAAATATATTTTATAGATTTCAGAGAGGAAGGGGAGGGAGAGAGAGAAATATCAATGATGAGAGAGAATCATGTGATCAGCCTGTGCCCTGACCGAGATTTGAACTGGGACCTCCTGGTTCATAGTCAACACTTAACCACTGAGCCGCCCTGGCTGGGCAGGAAGAGAAATTATAAAAATCCCGTTTTTATTTCCCCCTGTACCCCGTCAGGTTCTGGGCCTTCACAGGACGTGGCAGGTCGGGCAGGGGCTGAAGTAACACCCCCCCCCCACGCCCCCATCAAGGTCATCAGGGCGTGGCAGAGAATGGAGAGGCCCTGCACGCCGCCAGCCATTGTGACGCCTCACAGAAGTGACACAACAGAGGCCCAAGCCCTCGGGGCCCTCACTCCAGTCTCCCCCTCGGCGGAGAAACACTGCGAAGCCAGGAGAGCCGGCCCTGCCCACCCCGTGCAGCCGCCCGGCTTCCATGCGATCGGACAGACAGGGCGGACGCCCCCTCGGCCGCCTGCCGGGATGAGCGGGAGGCCGGAGCCTGCGCTGGGCCAGGCCGGGGAGGCCGGCAGCGGCGGCAGCAGCATCCAGGCTCTGGTCCAGGGGCGCGAGGGCCCCGCCGCCTGCAGCAGGTGCGTGACCGAGCAGGAGTCCCAGCGGATCTGAATTCCCGGAAAGTAACCCAGAAGGAGCTTTTCTCCTTTTCCGAGAAGATCATTTCCAAACATTGGCTCTCACAGCTTCTCTTGGCTGTGGCAGGCTGTCTATCTAGGCCAGTGGTGGGCAAACTGCGGCTCGAGAGCCACATGCGGCTGTTTGACCCCGTGAGTGTGGCTCTTCCACAAAATACCACGTGCAGTGCGGGCACGCACGTACGGTGCGACTGAAACTTCCTGGCCCATGCACAGAAGCCAGTTTTCGGCTCTCCAAAGAAATGTCAGCCGCTGTGCTGTTGATAGTTGGCTCTGTGGATTGATGGGTTTGACAACCGCGGGTGTAGGCCAGGCGTCTGGAGGAATCACGGCGGCTGGGACGGGGGCTGGAGGAGAAGCCCCGTTTCTTCACTCAGCGTAATAGCAGGACAGCAGACTAGAAACAGACCCCCAGAGAACAGACGGACAGCTGTCGAGGGGAGCAGTGGGGGTGCAGGAAAAAGGTGAGGGATTAGCAGGCCCATGGGTGATGGCAGGAGAGCCACAGAAGCAGGGGGCAGCCCGGGGAACGCGGCCCCTGACGTGAGGTGGTTGTATCACAAACCAGCGAGCTGGACTAGACGCCTCAGTGAGCCAGTTCGTCAGGAGCCATCTTTGTCGAGCACAGGCTCAGAGCAGGTGACCTCTGTCCCACTCTGAACAAGCTCAGGAGGGCACTTCCTTTTTCTGTCCTTCCAGGTCTTTGTGTGAGACAGCTTGTGGCCTTGACTATCCTATCTAACAGACACCTGTCATGTCTACACAGACAGCTTGTAACGTCGAGCGCATATCGTGTCTGTACAGACGCCTCTAACCTGGGATGAACTAACGCTTGGCAGAATGTGGGAATTATTGTCAGTCTCCGTGTAGCAGCCCCTGTGGATGGCTCGCTTGCCAGGACAGACAGTTGGGTTTACCTTTTCTATTATTCAAGCCAAAAGCACAGCCTGAAAACAGCAGAGCTCACCTACAGAAGAGGAGACGAAGAACAGGGTAGTTCAAACAGCAGTTTTTCCAAAGGAGGGACACTGTGCTTCCAGAGGGCTGTGTGTGTGTGTGTGTGTGTGTGTGTGTGTGAGGGGGGGGGGGCCGCTCTGGAGCCGTGCTTTGCCCACCTGAAACCGACGGACAATAGAGCCTGTGAACGTCACAGGACGATGCACACAGCACGCAGCCCCCAGCCGTGAGGAGAGGCTCGGACGCCACAGCCGCCTCCTCCCTGCGTGCCCCAGGCCTGACGCTCAGGGGCGCGGGCCCCCGAGGCGGTGGGCTTCTTTCCCACGCCCCCGCATGGGACGTGCCCGCACCCCGGTAAAGCCACAGCCGGAGCCAACGGCTGTGGCTCCTCTCGTGAGAACGGTGTACGTCACCTGCCAGGAGGCAGCAGGGAGGCCTGTGCGCTGGGCGGGCTGAGCCTCCTCCCTCAGGCCTGCCCCCCCCAGCCCCGCTCCCGCTCCCTCTGTGCTGCTGCTGGGAAGAACAGAGGACCCACCCCCCTCCTCCTACCCCCATCCCCACCCCAGCACCAAGCCCTGCAGAAGGGCCCTGAAGCAGAGGGCGAGTGCTGCCAGCTGTGGGAGGAGCAGGTGGTCACCACCATGGAGGGAGGCCGAGTCCCCGCGGGGGGTGGGCACAGCGGCTTTGCAAAGCCAGCCTGCCAGGGTTTACTCAGAAACTCAGTGAGCCGGGCCCAGCCTCATGGCTCAGTGACTGAGCATCGACCTAGGAACCAGGAGGTCAGGGTTCGATTCCCGGGCAGGGCCCGGGCCCAAGTTGTGGGCTTGATCCCCAGTTTGGGGTGTGCAGGAGGCAGCTGATCGGTGATTCTCTCTCATCATGGATGTTTCATTCTCTCCCTCCCTCTCCCTCTCTCTCTGAAATTGATAATATATATATACACACACTTTTTTTTTTTAAAGAAGCTTAGTGAACCTTTGGTGGGTATGGTCCCGTGGGAATTTTCATCAAACTCAGCCCAAGTGGAGGGCTCTCAGCTGCGTGGCCGTAGACACCGTCCTGGGGACGCTTTCTCTCGTTCCGAGGATGACTGGCCAGGATAACCCACAGGCAGCCCAGCAGCCTCTGCTGACAGAGGGTGTGGGCTCGGACCCGCTCCGGGCCTCTGTGTTTGTTCCTCCAGACTGCCTCGCTCATGGAAGATCGTCCTCAGTGTGGCGTTCGCCTTCACTGTCCTCCTCGTTGGTGAGTCCCCCAGCATGACCCTCTAGGCCACTTCAGGGATATCCGTGTGAGGCACCACAGCAGGATGACACCCCCCACCGGCCTGGTCCTCCTGCACACCCCCACCGGCCTGGTCCTCCCACACACCCCCACATACCCGTGTTCCCACACCCCCCCACCGGCCTGGTCCTCCTGCACACCCCACCGGCCTGGTCCTCCCACACACCCCCACATACCCTTGTTCCCACACCCCCCCACCGGCCTGGTCCTCCCACACACCCCCACCGGCCTGGTCCTCCCACATACCCCATGTACCCGTGTTCCCCCCCCCCATGTACCGGTGTTCCCACACCCCCCCACCGGCCTGGTCCTCCCGCACACCCCACATACCCGTGTTCCCCCTCCCCCCACCGGCCTGGTCCTCCCGCACACCCCACATACCCGTGTTCCCACACCCCCCACCGGCCTGGTCCTCCCACACACCCCACATACCCGTGTTCCCCCTCCCCCCACCGGCCTGGTCCTCCCGCACACCCCCACCGGCCTGGTCCTCCCGCACACCCCACATACCCGTGTTCCCACACACCCCCACCGGCCTGGTCCTCCCACACCCCCCCACCGGCCTGGTCCTCCCACACACCCCCACCGGCCTGGTCCTCCCACACACCCCCACCGGCCTGGTCCTCCCGCACACCCCACATACCCGTGTTCCCACACCCCCCCACCGGCCTGGTCCTCCCGCACACCCCACATACCCGTGTTCCCACACACCCCCACCGGCCTGGTCCTCCCACACCCCCCCACCGGCCTGGTCCTCCCACACACCCCCACCGGCCTGGTCCTCCCACACCCCCCCACCGGCCTGGTCCTCCCACACACCCCCACCGGCCTGGTCCTCCCACACACCCCCACCGGCCTGGTCCTCCCGCACACCCCACATACCCGTGTTCCCACACCCCCCCACCGGCCTGGTCCTCCCGCACACCCCACATACCCGTGTTCCCACACACCCCCACCGGCCTGGTCCTCCCACACCCCCCCACCGGCCTGGTCCTCCCACACCCCCCCACCGGCCTGGTCCTCCCGCACACACCCCGTACCCGTGTTCCCCCTCCCCCCACCGGCCTGGTCCTCCGGCACAGGGTTCCACAGCCACGTGTGGCCCAGAGAACACTCTTCCCAGAAGCCCCGGCGGCTCTACACCGTGATCACGGAGTACGGCTCCCGGCTCTCCAACTACCAGGTGAGGGTGCTGACCCCTGCTGTGCGCTGGCTGAGGCCGCCTTGTCCCGGGCCAGTGTGGGTGCTGGGCCGCTGTGTGCACGCCAGCTCCTGGGCCAGCGCCCCGTTCCGTGTTCCCGGCCGGTGCTCTCCGAGGATGGCTCCTCCGCCGTCCCTCCGGAGTGCTGTGGTGCCCCCGCCAGGCTGATGCTGGCTGTTTCTAAGGACGCTGCATCCATGCAGGCAAAGGCGCCTGCTGTGGCTTTCTTCACTCAGTGGACGATGGGTTGTAAACACGCCCCCTCGCCTTTAGTATTATTTTGTAACAGCGTTTTATGGTGACTAATAGCTCAATAAACGACGTACTCAGCTCTGGCCAGTGTGGCTCAATGGTTAGGGCTGTGGTCAGCAAACTGTGGCTCTAAAGCCACAGGCGGCTCTTTGGCTCCTTGATGTGGCTCTTCTATAAAATGCCACGGCCTGGTATTTGAAGAAGTAGCGTTAGAAGAAGTTTACATTTTAAAAAATTGGCTCTCAAAAGAAATTTCAATCTCTGTATTGGTGGTATTTGGCTCTGCTGACTAATGAGTTTGCCGACCGCTCTAACCGTTAGCGTCTTGGCCTGCGCGCTGGTGGGTCGTGGCTCAATCCTGTCAAGGCTGAGTTTCTGGGTCGCAGGTTCAGTCCCCAGCCCTGTTGGGGTGCATGCAGGGAGAACCAGTAGATGTGTGTCTCGTGTCGATGTCTCTCCCCCGCCCCCATCACTCCCTCCCTCCCACTGTCTCTCAGAATCAATGGGGAAATACCCTTGGGTGGGATTAGCCAGCCAGCCAGCCAAGGAGAGCCTGGGCGTTGGTGAGGAACGGGCAGGATCCGGTGGGTTTCTCTCCCAGGCCCAGCGGCGGATGCCGAAGGCGCAGCGGGAGCTCTTCAGGTGAGCGAGGCCCTCGGACACGCAGGCCATGTTTTCGTAAAGTTACAAGACGCTCGTCATTCCTACTCCCATAGATAAGGAGGTAACAGTGGGAGGTGCTTTCAGTGTCACTTATGATTCAAACTCGTGGGAAGGTAAGAAGCCCAGCGGGTGGGGGACCTGTGACAGCGCACCCCGCCGGGGCCAGGAAGCTGTGGGAATATCTGGAGGAGACAGTGCCTGGGAGGCTCAGTGGGACACAACATTATAGCGGTGCCTCTATTGCACAGAATAGAGCTTGCACACACGCTGGAATGCAACCGTGTTCATCTCTCCGAAGGGTTTGTGCTTTCCAAATTGCAAACATGGTTTTTTTACAAATTGGAAAAACAATAGATTTGTGTTTACCTTTTCTCAACAAGAGAAGTACCTGTTGGCTTGACATGACTAGTGATTTCCAGACTGACGGTAGCAGAACCCCTTTGCTGAAGGAAAACCTGGGCGCCCCTCCCCCCTCCCTGAGGCTGAGCTGAGGCCCCCGGCTGCTCCGTCAGAGGCGTGGGTGTGGGCAAGTCGCCAGCCTCAGGCCAGGGCAACAGAGCTGCTGAGAGACAGGAGCTGCTGAGAGACAGGAGCTGCTGAGAGACAGGAGCTGCTGAGAGACAGGAGCTGCTGAGAGACAGGGACTGTTAGCTGAGCCCGTCCCTGCTCCGAGCACCCAGGCCCTCGGTCCCCGGAAAGCCTCCCGGAGTCCTGGCTTGCACGGGTGCTGGGATGCAGCGTCCCCCTGGGCTCCCTCGCCCTCAGGTTTATCTTTCCGCTCTTTGCCCCGCCCCCAGCCCAGCACCCACTGGAAGTCCAGCTCCCTCTTCTCACATGATCTTGGGGGAGGGGGGTGTCTCCATTCACAGGAAAGAGAGCCAGACTTTGGAAAGCAACTTGCGTGAAATCCTGCTCTTAATGGAGCAAATCGACGTTCTGAAGGCGTTGCTCAGAGACACGCGGGCCGGGCTGCACAATCACAGCAGGAGCCCGGAGGGCGACCCCGAGGAGGCCCCGGGCCAGGCGGAGGTCATGGACAAGGTGTGCACCTATGTCACTAACTCACCCCCCAAAGGGCTACAGAACGTTCCCGTCTTCATTAGCGAACAGAGGCAGCGGTGAAGGGGGGCCCGGCAGGCCCCACAGACAGTGCCATCTTGCTGGGTGGTCCTGAGGCCCTGGAGGGGCCTGAGGGCCGCGGTGCTCTGTGACCTTGGGAGGGAAGGAGCACAGTGCCGCCGCCTGGGACCTGAGCCGCCGGCTGTGCCGTGAGGCTGTGCCGTGAGGCTGTGCAGCGCCCGCACACGCAGGCTCGGGACCTGGGGCCACAGCTCAGTGCGGACAATCATGACCTCAGCAGTCGGCAGGGACTGTTAGCAGAAAACGTTTTCTAAATTTGCACAGGAAATGTCGAACTTGGTGAATTATGTACTTAAGAAGCTGAGAGAAGACCAAGTGCAGATGGCGGATTATGCCCTGAAGTCAGCCGGTGAGTGAGCAGGGAAAACCTTCCATCGTGTCTCTGTTCTGTATGTTTCTCTCTCTCTCTCTCTTTCTCTCTCTCTCTCTCTCTCTCTCTCTCTCTCTCTCTCCCTCCCTCCCTCCCTTTTAAAAATATTTTGTTATTGGTTTCCTAGAGGAAAGGAGAGGGAGGGGGAGACAGAGAGAAACATCAATGAGGAGAGAGAATCATTGACCAGATGCCTTCTGCACGCCCCCCACTGGGGATGGAGCCCACAACCTGGGCCTGGGCCCTGACGGGAAATCGAACCCTGACCTCCTGGTGCCCAGGTGGACACTCAACCCCTGAGCCACACCAGCAGGACTCTATTTCCTTCTTAGGAAAACCTATGTGCTACCTGGTCCTGTGGGAGGAAGACAAGTGAACACATTCAGACAAGAAAGGGGGATGGGAATGGGTATTGATTGCTCCAAGCTGGTGCGAATCTCAGAGCAAAAGCCGAGTCGCTTGGTTAGCGAGGAAAAGGCGCAGAGACAGCTGTGTTCCCAGCGCCTCCGGGCAGCGCGCAGGCTCATACCACGGGTGGTACAACCCTTCACACTTGTGCGCTGAAATCACCAGAAGATCCACTAGCAGTAGTCTATACGGTTCAGTTACATTCTCTGCACACACTTCAGATATTGGCCATAAAAGATGGGGAAAAGAAAGAAAAATTAGCAACAGCATTCTTGGAGGAAGAGGGTAAAGGCAGGGGTGGGAGATATCTGTGGTACCAGCAACAGTAAAAAACATGTTTAAAAAGACAAAAACCATATTTTTCACAAGTTATTAAAAAAAAAAAAACAGCACATAAAATACCTGGGCATAAAGCCCATCTGCCACGTGAGAGCTCACCGGCCACGGGAGCTGTTACACAGGGTCCGTGTGGCTCTGGGTGACAGCCAGCCACACAGCAGTGCCCTCTGCAAAGCCGTGCCTTGGAGGTCCGTGCTGGGTCACAGGAGCAGTTTCCAAAATGCTGTGAAACTACACCATACCCGGCCCAGGCCTCATTTCCCAGCGACAGTGTTAAAACCCACACAGGTGCTTTGACTTTTTTAACGTTTTACTTTAAAAACTATTTGATCATTTTAGGCGCCTCCATCATTGAAGCCCGGACCTCGGAAAGTTATAAAAGTGATAAAGCAAAACTGTACTGGCATGGGATCGGGTTCTTAAATTATGAAATGCCTCCAGACAGCATCCTTCAGGTAAGAGCTAGACTACGAGTAACCTGTTCGTATTTTAGAATTTTGTTCATATTTTTTTCATTAAAGCATTAATGCCTGAAATGGGAACAACTCTGAACTTGTCACAGAACCTGAACCTACCTCCTTGTGTGTTCATAGTCATCAGATTACATGAATTTGTTCCTATGATTGATTAATCACTAATGTATTTGATGATCAGTAAATTAGATCATGTACCTCTCACATGGACAGACACAGACTGCCTCTTTACGTGGCTTCCATGGCTCCCTTTCCATCACCACGTTCAGTGGCAGCACGTTTGTTGCGGGTCTGTGCCCCTAGGTGCTGTGCTGGCCTACGAGCTTCCAGGCCCGCCCGTTCTCAGGGAGTCCAATAGTAACAGGACTTTCAGATGGAATTCCCACCAACATTTCACTTCTGAAGGAGCTGGGAGCACTAGGTGGCAGAGCTCTCTTATGAGAGCCTGCACACCTGAAGGCAGTCTCCAGCACACAAACACCTGCGGGGCAAGCCTGTGAGTCTCATCCCAGAAGAGCCTGGAGCTGGAAATTATTTCCCTCAACACCAGGACCAGACCATTCTAATCATCACCACCATAAACATCTCCATCACTACCACCACCACCACCACCACCATCGTCACCATCCTCGCCACCCCCACCACCATCACCATCATCATCATCACCACCACCACCACCACCACCCTCACCCTCACCACCGCCACCACCATCACCATCACCACCACCACCACCACCACCATCACCATCCTCACCCTCACCATCACCACCATCACCATCACCCTCACCACCACCACCACCACCACCATCACCATTCTCACCCTCACCACCACCACCACCATCACCATCACCACCACCACCATCACCATCCTCACCCTCACCACTGCCACCACCATCACCATCACCATCATCACCACCTCCACCCTCACCACCACCACCACCGTCATCACTATCTCCTCTCATCACCTCTCATACCAACTAACTGCCTTCTAGTAGCTTCTAGTCCAGTTCGAACACTGAAAGAAAAGATTCTCACATAACAAAGGGCTCTAACAGACAGAAGCATAACGTGAGCGGGAAAGACAGCAAACCCTGCAGGGGTCTAAAGTTCTCCTGTTGGACACACACCCCACGCAGGGCCTTCAGAACAGCGGTCGCCAACCTTTGGGACCTCCCCAGTGGTCTGCAGGCCGCCCGTTGGCGACTGCTGCGTTAGGGTATCGGCACAAGAGAGACCTGTGGCCAGTAGTGGTCGGCTGGCCAGTCCTGTGGGTGGATTTGTGAGCTGTCTCTTTTCCAGCCGGATGTTCACCCCGGAAGGTGCTGGGCCTTCCCAGGTTCCCAGGGCCACGCCCTGATCAAGCTCGCCGGGAAGATCATTCCCACCGCCGTGACCATGGAGCACATCTCCGAGAAGGTGTCTCCCTCGGGGAGCATCTCCAGCGCCCCCAAGGAGTTTTCTGTCCACGTGAGAATCTTCCCGCATCTCCGTCCGGACAGGGGGAGGGCAGAGGTGGGGAGCCAGGAAGCAGGAGCCGGGGTCTGAGCTGTGCGGCTGACCATCTGTGTCACTGTGACCAAGTCCCGTCTTCCCCACGCTCTGCTTTGTCACCTACGCAGCGAGAGGGGTGGGCCAGGTGGTCTCTGTCACCTAATTTTACTCTCGTCAGTCAGGCGTGTGCCATGAAAACATCGCCATTTCCACATGCTTATAACACAGCACCGTGTGTCCTTGTCCCACTTCTGCCCCCAACGTGTACTCTCTGGAAGCTTCCACTTGCAACCATTTTCGCTGAAAATGATTATTTAGATTCTTGCCTTCATCTTTGCTTTTCCTAATTTCTTGACTTTTCAGGTTTGGTTGTTGCCTACTGAGGTTCTCTGGTGGAAAATGGTTAGCTCTCTTCCCTGGCTCCCCAGCCTCAATGTTTGTGTCTTTATTGATGAGACATAATTCACACCCACATCATTCATCCATTTAAAATGCCCTTCTCACACACAGACAAGTCAGTGGCTTTGGTATAAGCACAGATGTAGATACCCATCGCCACGATAAATTTGAACATACTTTCGTCATTCCACAAAGAAACCCTGTACCTTGTAGCTGCCACCTCCCGCCACCCCCTCCCTCTGTCCCCCAGCCCTGGGCAGCCACCAATCCACTGTGTCTCCATAGACTGGCCTTCTGGACACGTCATATAAATGGGATCACCTGTGTGGTCTCTGGTGAACGGCTTCTTTCACTTGGTATCATGTTATAAGGTTCACCTATGTCAGTGGTCGGCGAATTGTGGCTTGTGAGCCACATGTGGCTCTTTGGCCCCTTGAGTGTGGCTCTTCCACAAAATACCATGAGCGGGCGCACACATACAGTGCAATTGAAACTTCGTGGCCCAGGTGCAGAAGTCAGTTTTCGGCTTTCAAAAGAAATTTCAATCGTTGTCCTATTGATATTTGGCTCTGTTGACTAATGAGTTTGCGGACCACTGACCTATATATAACATGCCAATATTTTGCTTTTGAAGTTGCATCTTACTTATCCGTTCATCATTTGATGGGCCTCTGTGTGGTTTCCACCTGTTTGGCTAGCTGCCCAGTGCTGCTGGCCCCTGGAGAAGGGTTGCTACTTGGCCGCACAGCTGCCCTGTGTACGGGGGTGGAGACTCCATGCCTTGCAGCCCCGTGTCTACCCCTCTCTCCGCAGGGCATCTCAGAAGAGTGTGAAGGAGAAGAGATCGCCCTGGGTCAGTTTGTGTATAACAAAACCGGAACCACCGTACAGACATTTCAGCTGCAGGCAAGGAGCACTGGGATTGGGCTGCACCTGGCTCAGTCCCTGGGAGGGGCGGGGCGATTGCAGTATGCAAAGTGGTGCCAGCTGTGACCAAAGCGGAAGGTAAGCAAGCGCACCTGACCGCGGCGCTCAGCTCTAGATGCTTAGCACATTGTAATGCAGAAGACAGGCAAATGCCAAACTGGGCTCTAAGCCTACTTATCTTCATTGGCTACCACTTTAAACACACACACACACACACACACACACCACACACACACACACACACACACACACACACACACACACGGGGCCCAGTGCACAAATCCGTGCACGTTGAAAGGAACTGTAGGCTGAGAGGCTGTGATGGGTACAGGGGCGGTCTCGGCCCCTCCTCCACGCCCCCACAGCCCCTCCGGCCATGCCCCCTGGTCCTTCTCTGCTGGCAGCCCCGTGCCCACCACCACCACTCGCACCCGCTGACGGTGCGGAGTGATGGGGCCAGCACCGGGCACTGGTGTGGGTGCTCCTGGTAGCAGGTGCGAGCACTGGGCAGGGCCGCAGGGCACGGGAGCAAAGAATTTTCAGTAACCACCAGAGGCTCGCCCCGATGATAGTGACCAGTGCCCTGCCTTGGTCAGGGGCCCCTGCTCACCTGCTTCACCATCCCATTGCAGCTGATACCCACCATGTTCCATGCTCTGCCACCTGCTGCTGATGCCCAGCATGTTCCACCCACGCCCTCTGGTGGTCAGTGCACGTCATAGTGACCAGTTGGTCAGTTGTTTGGTTGTTCTGCTGTTTGGTCTATTTGCATATTAGAGTTTATGTGTATAAATGTATATCCACCTTCTTCACCCTTACCTTACTTTGTTTGGTTCTCTTGAAACTATTAGGTTAGATAGTCACTGTCTCACCTTCTGTGTGATGTGTTAGAGGCAAAAAAGGAAGTCAGAGGGAGAGAGAATAAATACTTAATACCAGATAAGACAGGTAAACTTTCCTTCCTCACCCAATGGGGAAAAATATCAGCTGTTATGCCTGGCCAGTAAGGCTCAATGACTGAGCGATGACCTCTGGACCAGGAGGTCACAGTCTGATTCCTGGTCAGGCACATGCCCAGGTTGTGGGGTAGATCCCCAGTTTGAGGCAGGCAGGAGGCAGCCAATCCATGATTCTCTCTAATCATGGATGTTTCTCTCTCTCTTTCCTTCTCCCTTCCTCTCTGATGTCAATAAAAACATATTTTTAAAAAGAAAGGAAAATACCAGCTGTTAACCTGAAGGTCTTTAAGGCATCCTATATAATAAAACCCTAACATGCAAATTGACTGAACAATGGAAGGACCTGAGGAATGACTGATCGCTATGACGCCCACTGACACCAGGGGGCAGATGCTCAACACAGGAGCTGCCCCCTGGTGGTCAGTGAGATCCGGCAGGGGGAGCACCACTCAGCAGTGGTGGTGGCCAGAGCCTCTCCTGCCTCCGCTGCAGGTGGGCAATAAGGAGCAAGGGGTCCCAGGATGCGAGAGCCCTGGACTGCAAGAGGGATATCTGACTGCCAGCTCACACCCCGGGGACTGGGCCCAAGCCGGCAAGTAGACATCTCCTGAGGGGTCCCAGCCTGGGAGAGTGTGCAGGCTGGGCTGAGGCACCTTCCCCCGCCCATCCCCAGTACATGAATTTTGTGCATTGGGCCTCTAACATGAAATAAAAATCCCATTGCTTCTCATTAGGCACAGGGAATAATGAGATGAGAGGGCATCTCCCACCATATAAAACAAGGGTTTCAGGGCCCTGCTTGGCCAATGGGGAGGAAGCAATGTTAGAAATGAATGCACCTGTGGAGTTTCATATTTGATTGAACGTCTGTGTGTCTCCCACGTGGAGTGGCCAGCAGGCAGCACGGTGGGGTGTGGCAGTGGCTGGGGCTGTGGGAGCTCGTGGCTGTCCAGGCCACCTTGTCCTCTCCTTGCTTGCGTTTGTCTTCTCAGGAGCTCTTCATTCACAGCAGCTCACTTCTCATCTGTTAGAGCCTGTGTGATTGCACTTAAGGCAGGAAGGTGTTCAATCCATTACAACTGGGTTCCTTACGTCCCTTTGAGATGGATTTCTTGATAAGGCATTAATTTTCTTTTCTTCTTTTTCCCAGCATGTAGTGTCTGAGCCCTTATTATGTGTGAAACTTACAATCCTCAGCAACTGGGGACATACGAAGTACACGTGCTTATACAGATTCAGGGTCCACGGCAGCCCCGAGGGCCACAGCTAGAGGTCTGCTGCCGACGGCCATGACCACGAGTCAGAATACTCGTGTTCTTCCTTCCTTAGACTTACTGCACTCGTAGGAATCGAATAGTGGGTTCAAACTTGCCAGTAAAAAGTGAATGAATTTTACTAATAAAAACTGTCAAAGTGGTTTCAATCTCCTTGTGATGGTTTAGTTTGTGAGGATGAATCATGTTGTTGGAACATTAACAAATAAATTTGTCTAGAAAAAGATGTATTATTCAATGTTTTTTTTTTGTTTTGTTTTTGTTTTTTGTTAATCCTCATCTGAGGATATTTTTCCATTGAATTTTATTTGATTTTTCCCCCCATAGAATTTTAGAGAGTGGAAGGGAGGGGGAGAGACAGCGAGAAACATCCATGAGAGAGAGACACATTGATTGGTTGCCTCACACACGCCCCAACCAGGGCTGGGGATGAGCCTGCAACCAAAGTACGTGCCCTAGACCAGAATCGAACCCTTCAGTCTACAGGCAAATATTCTCTTCCCTAGCCAAACCAACTGGGGCTTGTTTTATTTTTTAAAGTCTACATCATTTCTATTATTTATGCTGTAAGAATTTTAACAAGATCCAGTGAAATTCATCATGAGACAAATTGCAGAATTATCACGTAACATCACTGTTCTTTAAAATTCTGTGTTTATCACCCTTAAAATCTTAAATTTAAAACCCTAATTCAGGGTGGCTACAGGGCTGAGTGGAATCTAAAGCTGTTCTGCAGCAGATGTGTGCATCTGAGCATCATTATATTTAATCCTTTACAAATGAAGCATTGGTTTTATTTTTAATGTTTTAATAAAAGTGTCAATAGGCCCAGCTGGTGTGGCTCAGTAGTTGAGTGTGAACCTATGAACCAGGAGGTCAGTTTGGTTCCCGGTCAGGGCACAGGCCCGGGTCGCAGGCTCCATCCCCGGTGTGGGGCGTGCAGGAGGCAGCTGATCCGTGATTCTCATCATGGATGTTTCTCTTCCTCTCTGCCTCACTGAAGTAAATAAAAACATATTTAAAAAAGAAGCGGCAGTCGGTGTGAACGTTCTTTATCCCTAGAACCACTTCTCACACGGAGGGAGGGGGGGGGAGGCGCTGAGGATCCCGCGTTCTAAGGCCAGACCGGCCTGCCTCCCCACCCGGGCGGAACCAAGGGGCGCGGGCGGCGTTTCCGGGGGACGCTGTGGAGGGACGCTGGGGCCGGAAGCTGAGCAGGGACGCGGAGGGCCGGAAGCTGGGGCACGGACCGCTGAGGGCGGGTTTCTGTCGGCCGCTGGCCGGCCTCCCAGACCGGTGCCGTCGCGCCATGAAGTTTCGCGCTAAGATTGCGGACGCCGCCTGTCTGAACCACTTCACGCGTGAGCGGGTCGCGGCCGCCCGGGGTGTGGAGGGAGCGAGGGGAGGGCGGGCCGACGGCGGAGAGGCGCGGAGGGCTTCCCTGGAGCCGAGAGTGCGGGGCTGAGGGGTCTGGCGTTGAGGGGCTGAGGGACCGGGCGCTGAGGGGCTGAGGGACCGGGCGCTGAGGGGCTGAGGGGTCTGGCGCTGAGGGACTGACGGACCGGGCGCTGAGGGGCTGAGGGGTCTGGCGCTGAGGGGCTGAGGGGTTGGTGGGGGGGAAGGCTGAGGGGCTCAGTGCTGAGGGGCGCGGAGCTGAGGGGAACGAGGCTGAGGGGCCTGGGACTGAGGGACTGAGGGACTGAGGGGCGGGGCCGAGGGGTCTGGGGCTGAGGGGCTCAGGGCTGACGGTGGCCGGTCTGAGGGGCGGGGCTGAGGGCGGGGGTGGGACTGAGGGGCGTGGCCTGGGCTGAGGGGTTAGGGGTGAGGGGGGCCGGTCTGAGGGGCGGGGCCAAGGGGCTCAGGGGCCGAGGGGCTGAAGGAGAGGGCGGGGCCGAGGGGCGGGCCTTGGGCAGTGGTGCCCCAGGTGGTTGGGGCCCTGACTGGGCCCCTGGCGCCCTAACAGCACAGGCGGTTTTCTGGAGGCCGAGCTGCGGCCCAGGGGGAGCGAGCGGAGGCTCCACGTGACCCGGGAGCCCGGTGTCCTCAGCCTGTTGCCGGGTGACCGGAGGCCGGCCTGGCCCCGTGGCCCCCGCGCTGGCCTTCAGGTCCCGCACGGGGACCCGCACAGTGACCCGTGCTCCCCGCAGGCGTCAGCTGCATGGTGGCCAAGCTCGCCCGCACCTGCACCCTGCGCATCCGCCCGCACACGCTCAACTTCATCCTGGCCGACTCCGCGGCTGGCGGTGGGGTCAGCATGTGGTGCGAGCTGCCCCAGGTGAGCGACCTGCCCTCCCCCCCTCCCGCCCAGAGGGCACCGGTGGCCCCCTGACCCTGCGTCCCGTGCCCACCCCAGGAGAACTTCTTCAGCGAGTTCCAGATGGAAGGGGTCTCCGAGGAGAACAATGAGATCTACGTAGAGCTCACGGCCGAGAACCTCTCTCGGGCCTTGAAAACCGCGCAGAATGCCAGGGCCTTGAAGGTCAAGCTGACCAACAAGCACTTCCCCTGCCTGACAGTCTCCATAGAGCTGGTGAGGAGGGTGCCCAGCCCCGATGGCAGTGGCTGCAGCAGGGCCTCTGGGGTTGCAGCCCGAGGGAGGGCCAGCCGGGCATGTGTGCCCCTCATGACCTTGAGCACACATGGCGTGTGGGAAGGGTTTCCGGGAAGAACTGAGAATGCCCCGTTGACCTGTGTGTTAGATTCCTTGTCGCCCTTCATTCTGGTTGTTCCTTGGCAGGTGTCTGTGTCGAGCAGCAGTCGCATGGTGACCCACGACATCCCCGTAAAGGTTATTCCCAGGAAACTGTGGAAGAATTTACAGGAACCGGCAGTCCCAGACTCTGATGTGAGTGATGCCGCAGTCATTTGAATTCCCTGATTTAGCTACGGGCTTTGCAGTCTGTTTTATTCGAAATGATACTCATTTTTTCCAGGAAGAATGGAACATGTGCCTTTGGTTGTTGCCATAAAGACCCTAAAACAGCACGGCATGTGGCCGGGATGCCGAATGCTGCTGGTGGACAGGGAATGTCCGCCCAGTGACAGCATGTACAACTAGACTGCACTGAGCAAGCCCCTTGTGTTTCTGTCAGGAGTGGTGGCCTCAGGCACCAGTTTGGGTTTCACAGAGGGGATGTTTCCATGTCACATAAGGAGTGATGTCCGGGCTGGGAGGCTCCTTCAGCTCCGCTGATGCTGATGGAGTCCCAGGGCAGGGAAATAGGTGATGTCCCAGGGTCCTTTGCCTCCTGCTCACAACTTATTGAAGGAGCGATGATAGAAATGGAATTTTACTAGAGGGCACTCACCCTCCTGGGAAGCAACCAGTGCACCAGGCACGGTGGGAACCATCTGACGCTGGTGCAGGCACTCCCTCCTGGCTTTCTTGGGTGGAAAGGCCCGAGTCTTGGGCACCCCTCTGAGGACCGCCATGTCCCTGGGCCTCTAGCTGCAGGCGCAGTCCTGGAACCAGAAGTGCCATAGTGACCTGGTTGCTGAGGTAATCAGAGGCAGGAATGAGTTAGTGAAATTCTGATTATTTTTATTTTTATATTTTAAAAAGAATTCTATTCAGACAGTTAAGAAACCTAGGATTCTGGAGCTTTTAAGTTTACACGCATTCCAAACCTAGGTAGTGAGCGGGCACCTGCCAGCACTTGGCTCTACTGACATTCTCATGTTCTGGTTTTCTCATTGGGCTTGTAGGTTAGTATTTATATGCCGGTCTTGAAGACGATGAAGAGCGTTGTGGAAAAAATGAAAAATATCAGCAATCAACTTGTAAGTCACAACTTCTCTAGATAAGAGCTCTGAAGTGTTTGCGTGGGCTGCATGCCTGCCTGCCTGACACTCGGCACACGGGGCCCCCTCATCGCCATGGCTGAGAGCTCCAGCTTCCCGGGTGCCTGGGAGGCCTGCCCGAGTGCTCTCCAGGGGCTCCTGGGGGAGTGTTCACATCTGCCCTCGGGCCTGTGTTTATACTTAAAGTCAGCATGTTCAGCCGTTCTGGAGAGAACATGGCACGTCTGCAAAGGCCTGTGTGTTTATGAGGTGCTGGTTTTGGCAGTGAGCTGAGTGCCCCGTGAGTCCAGGCCACAGTGTTCACTCTCATTCATGCCAAGTAGCTGGCACGTTGCTGTTCTGATGGTCTTTGTGGTCCACTGCGGCGGGGACATGGCACCGCAGGGCAGCGGGGCATTGTGGGGAGGAGCCTCAGTGTCAGCTGGTTCTCCTGCGTTCTTCCTCCACTCCACCAGAGCACCTGTCACATACCCTGAAGCTTTAAAACCACTGTCCGCCTAATGAAGCATAAGCTTTTGACCTTCATCCTCTGCCAGTCCTCGTCCTTATCATGGCCACACCCTCCCTGCAGGACCAGCTCTTTCCCGGGCCTGTCTCCCCATATCGCCCTGGAAAGCACTTAGCTCCCAGACCTTCCCCCGTTGCCAGGAGTCCTTCAGACCCTCTGAGCCGCTCGGTGCTACCCGATAAGTTCCCTGTTGGTGTCTCGACCCTGCTGACCTGCTGGCTCTTGGGAAAGGGAAACCCAGTGTCTCAGTGTCCAGCCACCTGTGGGACTCACTCAGTGGGCTGTCCACGAGCTGGCCAGGTCCTGGAGTGAAAGTTGGCTTTTAGAGGTCTTTGGAATTGCAGAGTTTTTCTGAAGCCTAGGAAATGCTATGGGCCATTTCATCTACAGTTGTGTCCACTTAAGGGTAATTTTCTCTCATGGCTTAGTCTCAGCTCATTGTAATTTACAGCTGGCTTTGGGCGAAGCAGTGAGAGCCTGGTGTCATATGCTCCCATGCCTGCCTACTGTCCGGCTGTTATCAGGCTGCAGGCTTCCTCTGGGGACTCAGGAGAGATTCCGAGCCTGAGAGAGGCAGGGCAGCCAGAGAGAGGCAAGGCAGCCGTCTCAGGACCGATGAGTCTCTGTGTGCAGGGCTGAGCCAGCAGAGGCCCGGACAGAGGCCCAGAGCACTCGGAGCCTCCCCTGCGGGGCCTCTGAGCCCACTGCCTCGTTCCCTCCTCTCATAATCCAGGGTGCCGTCCCCCTACAGTGTGACTACTGTGAGAGAGCCAGCCTCCCTGGCCTGTTCACCTGTCCCTGCCGAGTTCTCCACTCTGAGGGCTGCTTCCTACGGGGTTTTCCGAGTCCTGGATCCTCTGGCCTGTCCTCTCTGTTGCCAATGTCCCGTGCTGTCTGGAGGGTGCTGGGTTTGTAGGCTCCCTCGTCACCTGGTATGGAAGCTGATGTTTGTGGTGGATTTTACTTTATTTTTTTTGCTTTCCCTTTCTTTTTTAAGACTGTGAAATACTCCACTTGCAGATTATTGAAGCAAACCTCAATGGAGACTTGAACTTGAAAATAGAATCGGAACTAGTGTCTGTTACAACTCATTTTAAAGATCTTGGGAATCCGCCATCAGGTAGGTTTTCTGGTAGTTTGTGTTTTGCTTCTGAAAAATTGTTTCACACCTTACGAGGCCTCTGAATAAATGGGAAGAGTTTAAATTCCGGTGCCTGTTTTATGCTTGGGGAGACAGGCGACAGGTTGGCGTACGTGCTGCTGTGATGGGCGGTTTGTGGAGAGACGGGTGCCCTGGGCATGCGTGTGCCTGGCTGGAGGGTGGGCTCAGGGTCTGGAAACCTGGAGCCATCCCAGCTCTGAAATCCCTGTTTCTGCTACTAAAGATTGCAAGTTCCCACCTGGAGCACAGTTAGAAAGGTAGGTGGCATTTCTCCTTTTCTCCTACTTGGGTCTCTCTAACACTTACAGACATAGATTAGCAAATGCAGACTTTTCTCAGGCGCGCGGATGGCCTGTGTCAGGCGAGGTGATCGGGCCCACGGAATCAATACAGTGAGTGTGGACAACGGCTGATGCATGGACTGGAGCCTGTGCTGCATTACTGTGTGGGTGGGGCAGGGGAGGGAGAGAAGCCAAGGACCTGGGGATGCGTTTGCTGGTGACCTAAAGCCCTTCAGTCTCGCCTGTGTCCCAAACAGGCCACTCTCAGAATGGGCATGTGTCACCCAGGGTTGCTATGCACATTCTAGCGTTGCTGTGGGGCTGGGCCTTCACAGTGGAAGGGTGCTGTGGGGAGAGGGAGGCCCATGTGGTCAACGCTTTGGTAATGCTGAGGGAGAGGACTTACTCTGGTCTGACTCATTTTGTTCGTTTTAATAAACAAGAAAGAGGGTTTTCCACTCTGGAAGGAGGCCTTGATTAACCCACATAAGCATATGAAGCATTGACTGTTCATGTGCACTGAGGGATGTCGTCTCCCTTGACTTAAAGGGAGTTTAGGTCATGTTTCAAGGCCTGGGAATGAAGATTTCCTGGAAATTGACATAGTATTTCAGAGTCAGGATTTAATAAATTCTTGCTTAACAAAGGGTCCTATTTCCATCTTGCACGATTTGTCCAGTATGTAACATAAGGGAATGCAGCTCATTTATTTAAGCAAACAGTCTTCTTTTACATCTAGATGTTCCTGTCATTTTAGCCTCTGAAAACGAGTCTGAGGACCGCAGCCCCGAGCAGATGGCGGAGGTGCAGGTGGACATCAGGAAGTTCCTGCAGTTTCTTGCTGGACAACAAGTGAACCCCACCAGGGGCATCTGCAGTGAGTGTGCATGCATTGGTTTGCACGTTTCCTGTGCTTGAGTCACCTGTGGCCTCTCAGCTGGTGTGTGGTCTCGTAAATGCAGGGCAGCTTGGTCAGAGGCCTCTGATTTTCCAGGGCCGGGGATGATTGGGGGCCTGGGTTCAGAGGTGACAGAGGTGGGTCTGTGCTGTCTCCCCAGGCGTTAGCATGGTCTCTGCACCCAGAGAGGGGCTGTGGAAGAATGTGCTGACTGTCCTGTTAATCTGACCTGACACCTGGCCTGACATAGGTGGAGCCCTGACACCATCTGGCTTGATTTAGGTTCCCCTCACCATGCCTCTGTTTCTTCCTGTATCTCAACCTGAAGCCTGTGTCCTCTCAACCCCTCCCGTGGCTCTGCTTGGCCCATTCTCAGCAGTGTGCGCATTCCCTGTGCCTGAGCAGCGTGCGCATTCCCTGTGCCTCAGCAGCGTGCCCATTCCCTGTGCCTGAGGAAGGGCTGCCTTGTCTACTTGGCTGTGGATAACACAGCCCCTGAAAGGACACGTACCTTGCTGGGAAGTGCTTCTGTCTCCCACATGTTGTGGTCATGGGTCCTGGCTGCTGGGTTCTGTTACTGTCATCACTCCTTCTGGGTGCTCCATCTGCCTGTGCCTCGGCGTGTTTGCCCTTCACCGGGCAGTGCGTGGCCTTGCCTTCGTAGACCATCCCTGTGGGGGCTGGTGTTCCTGGAGCAGATTTCTCCTTCAGTGGGTCCAGGATTCAGGGAGCAGCCCTGTGCATGGAGGCTCCATAGTGACGGTGTCTTCTGTCCCCAGATGTTGTGAGTCACAAGATGGTGCACTTTGACCTGCTCCATGAGGATGTGTCCCTGCAGTACTTCATCCCGGCCATGTCCTAGCACTGCCAGCTGCATGGAGCCCCGAGGCCGTTCCATGACCGGAGAGGCATGGGCGATGTGCTCATCATTTGTCCCTGTCCTCACAGCAGCACAAATTCTGTACATTTCCCTTATTTTTTCCTTTATGATAGTTTAACTAGAAATTAAATTAATGAAATAGTTGAATAAACATGTTACTTCATATTATTATAACTGGGCAATCAATGGGTCTTCACTACCTGTCACTGCTTGAGCCAATTAAGCAGAGACAGGGTTGAATCATATGTGAGCATTTATTCCAGTTCTGCTGACAGTATGGGAGAGCAGCAGGTCATCCACAAACATCTGCTCTACCCCTGCCATAAGCCAGCTGCTTATATTGGGAGAAGGATGAGGATTACATGGGGAAGTAGGCAAAAGGGTATGACACATTGGGCAGTTTGCAGGTAATGCAGGCGGGAGGTATGCAAAGGGCTCCAATTTCTGCAACAGGGCTGTTCATCTTTCCACGATACAGGCAGCTCTGGGATGGGGAGGATGGACCGCATTTCCGGGGGAGCTCCCAAGTGCCATCAACCAGGTGACTGTGGGATCTCTTAACACGACCCGCCTGGTTCAGGATTCTACTTCAGAGTCCGCGTTCTGGAGAAGGCCGCACACAAAATGCAGAGAGGCTAGAAAAGAGTTAATTTGGGAAAATGGGGAGCCAGGTGGGAGTCCACCTCTAGGGGGAAGACTACCCAGTGCTCTGGCCTTTTGCCATCCCTTTTATTGAGGTTCTGAGATAAAGACATTCTTTATGCAGGAAATTCCAACAACAGAAAATTAAGAATTTACATATGATTAACAAATTAAAGTTGCTTCAGCCCTAGCCTGTTTGGCTCAGTGAATAGAGCATCGGCCTGTGGACTGAAAGGCCCTGGGTTCAATTCCAGTCAAGGGTATATGCTTGGATTGCAGGATTAATCCCCAGTAGGGGTTATGCAGGAGGCAGCTAAGCAATGATTCTATTATTGATGTTTCTCTTCCTCTCCCTTCCTCTATATCAATAAAAATAAATATTAAAAAAATAAAAAATAATACAGTTGTTTCAACTACCACTTATCTCAACTAAACAATGAGTTGATAGCTCTGACCATTCAGAGCCATTAAGGTTGGCCAGCTCTTTTTACATTTAACTACTAGTGACAATGTTCAGTTTCCAGCATCTCCCCCCAATTTCTTCCTTTTAAAAATCTTTCATTTACAGACCAGAAATAAACATAAGAACAAAAAATGTTTCAGTCCCATTTTCAATGTCCAAAAGTTCTGAGTCCAAGTTTTTTTTATTTTATTTTATTGATTTTTTACAGAGAGGAAGGGGGAGAGATAGAGGGCTAGAAACATCGATGAGAGAGAAACATTGACCAGCTGCCTCCTGCACACCCCCCACTGGGGATGTGCCTGCGACCAATGTACATGCCGTTGACCAGAATCGAACCCGGGACCTTTCAGTCAGACTGACACTCTACCATTGAGCCAAACCGGTTTCGGCTGAGTCCCAAGTTTCAATGTCCAATAGTTCCTCATGTGTACATGTCAGCAATGATATCTGGATGGTGGACAAACGGTGGCGATGCAGGTCCGACCATCTCTGCATTGGTCCTGGACACAGCTGCTGACTGCTAGCATGGCAAGGTGTCGTCAGCGTCTTGCATGTCTGGACTGTTTCTCCTCTTGTCTTCATGGCTGGAGCATTCCTATTCCTCTCTGTTGCAGGAATCCACATGGTCTTGGAGTTGTTTTCTGAAAATATACAAACATATTCTCGACCAAAAGTTAATAAAGGAATCTTTTCTATAAATTCTACTTGGGATCCTTTTAATTTTTTGCCCAAACAATTTTCCTTTGACTTATTTTGATACCATGTGTGTTTTTCATGGCTGTCTTGCTGTTAGCATTACAAATGAAAATTCGTTTTCAAAAGAAAAACAATTTTCTAGATGTACTTTACTTACAGGACATTTTTTCCTTACATGGTATTTTCCCACTATCTCCCTCTTTTTTTATTGAATTATTAGGAGGCTTTTGGAAAATGCAGTTTTGATACCTTTTAAATTTTAATTTTTTGCACAAAAATATGACTGCTTTAGGTTTATTGCATGTTAAGCAATTTTACCATGAAATGAACTACCAATAGAAATTTTGGTTAATACCGTATTTTCCAGCGTATAAGACGACTCCCTAATTTTACAGTTAAAACATAGGTTTAGGCCTATATTCACTGTATAAGACTACCCCCCACTTCCGAGGCAACACCAATTCTTTTTTTAATAGACCGCCTCTCTGACTCTGGCCAATCTGAGCAGGCTTTTTACTGTGTTGCCTCGGGAGTGGGGGGTAGTCTTACACAGTGAATATAGGCCTAAACCTATGTTTTAACTGTAAAATTAGGGGGTCTTCTTAAACGCTGGAAAATACGGTACTTTAGGAACAGCCTTTTGTACAATTAAATTTTCTTGAATATTCACTTAATTCATTTAGCCAATTTAAATTAATCTGAAAACTTGACTACTGTCAAATTTAATACTTCAACAACAATCTTAGTTTACCCTGTAAATATTAATTGAAAGGATTATTTGCATTCTTGAGAAAGTCCTGAGCATTCCTGGATTTAGGCTGGATTTAGATATAGGGCAGCTGCCATCAGCCACTTCTCCGTTGCCTGGGTCTCAATCTGAGCTGGGCCAAGTCTCTGAACACTTGCCTGGGTCCTGATTTGAGCTAGGCATGGGAAGCACGAAGCAGCCATGGGACAGGAGACCTCCCTCAGAATAGGCGAGTGTTCAAGCCCCTCAGTGTTGGGGTCGGGTGAGGATCTGTGCCCCTCCTTTGATGATCGCCAACTTCTTTCCTGATGGCCCCTCTGCGACTATGCCTGTCTTAGGTTGTTCCTTCCCTAAGGAATCTTACCTGACTTTGGCTAACCAGCCATCCTCTGGGGCCAAGCAGGGTGATGTGAGGTTCAGTTCTGTCTCATTGGTAGCCTATGCCCCTAAGGCCTCCATGCCCAGCACCTGCCTTGGGATCCCCTCACCTGCTTTCTAGGCCCCGGCATTGATATCTTGGGGAACACAGGAAGGGATTAAATCCTTTCATGTCCTTTTAAATTGCTGCCAAACACCCAAAAAATTGGATTTTTAAGTTTGTTTGGAATAATTGTACAATATGCTGCTGTAAAATATCAAAAATTATAATGACATTGTAGAATATCATGTAAGGATATTCTTTGCTCTAAGCCAGTGTTTCCCAAACTTCTCTCATGGTGAGAATCACCTGGTGGAGTTGTTAAAATACAGATTCCTGAATCCCAACTAAGAAGTGCTAAACTAGAATTTTAACATATAGGTAAAATTGTCACCAGGTGATTCTCACCATGAGAGAAGTTTGGGAAACACTGCAATTCAATTTCAAACTGGCTGTCCATTTTCTTTTGTATAGACAAGGTCTTAGTTACATTTCCTGCACTTCTCCAAGGAGCAAGTAGTGAACCTACTTTGGTGCAAGCCAGAAACCTCTCATTTTACACACAAAGGAGCAGTGGTTTGATTGTGTCATACAAAAGGGAAGCTGGGTGGCAACACCTGTGTAATACTTCCTTACCCCACCCATTTTCCTCCTGGATGACCAAGGTGTTTGGTATTATAGGTGACTACATTAGGCGAGGGATCAGTGTAAGGGCTCTTACCCATGAAGGGTCAGGAACATAAGTCCTAAACACGTCCACATTTGTCCCAGGTAATATTACCATACAGATGATTACTGCTAGCATGGCAAGAAAGACATTCTCAGGCACCTGTACAGTCTCCTTTTTACCATGCCCCAGATGGTCTCTGGGTTGTTTGCTGTCTGGCTCCTCCTCCTCCTGCTCATCTTCAGTGGACTGCTTGGAGTCACTGCCCTCTGTAGCTGGGGTAGTTGATCGTCTGCAGCTGCATAGTGTGGCTCCAGGTGCAAAGTCCTCATTAGTCTGGCTAGTTTCTCTCTTGGATCCCTGTTGCAGTTTAATATTTCTAGCAGGAATCCACACGAGTTTGGAAAAATTCTCTGGGAATATACAAGCATACCCTCTGCCAAAGGTTAATAATGGATCAGGTCCTTTCCATAAACCAGATTCAGGATCCTTCCATTTAACTAGACCATTTTCTTCTGCTTTATTCTGACGCCAGTGTAGTTCCATAGGCGTCCTTCCTTCATCATCACAAGTGAAAAAATTTAAAGTAATTCAGGCTTGGTGCAGTCTACCTGCAGGCGATTTCTCCATCATCCCCCTTTTTGTTTTTCAAGTTGGGATTTTAGCCGCTGATGCTGTCGTTCAATAATGGCCTGTCCTTGGGAATTATATGGTATTCCTGTAATATGCTGAATTTCCCACCTTTTATAAAATTCCTGGAATTGACAGCTTGTGTAAGCAGGCCCATTACCAGTTTTAATAATTTTTGGAACTCCATGACAGCAAAAGCAGCTAGGCAGTGATTAATAACTTGTTTTACCATTTCTCCTGTAGATGCAGTAACCCATAAGACTTTTGAAAAGGTATCTACAGAGACATGTAACGCCCCAAGGCGTCCAAAGGAATTATAATGTGTTACATCCATTTGCTAGATATGATCTCTTACCAAACCTCTGGGGTTGACTCCTATGTTAGGCCACTGAGGTAGATGTAACGTGCAAGTTGGACATTCCTTAATAATCTGTTTTGCCTGTTGTCGAGTGATTGAGAATTGTTTAGACAACATTTTGGCAGGCTGATATAAAAGCTGATGAAATTCTAAGGCTTCTTTTAATAAAGCAACCAGTTGATCAGCCTGTGCATTTCCTTTTGTTAAAGGACCAGGTAATACACTATGAGCCCTGATGTGAGTGATGTAAAAAGGATATTGTCTCTGTTGTACAATCTGCTGAACTTGTTTGAATAGTAAAAATAAACTTCGGTCACTAAGCCATTTCACCTGGGCAGTTTCAATTCTATTCACTAAGTTTGCAGCATTAAAAGGAATCAGAGACGATATTAAGAGGCCCTTGGAAATCCTGCAGTGCAGCCTTAATAGCTTCTAGTTCAATTATTTGTACAGAAGTATGACTGGTCAGTATGACTGTATTATTCGGTCTGATGAATTTATTGTAGGAGAGGCAGCTTTCCCATTTGATGACCCATTAGTAAAAAGAGTTAAAGCTCCAGGAATAGGTTCCTGCCTAGTATGTTTTTTTTGTATAACGATAGAGGTATTACATAAAAATTGTAGTGATTTATCTTTTAATAGGTAACAGCTAAGTTCTCCTGAATATCCACTTAACCCAATTTGCTAATTTATATCAGTCTGAAGCAAATTTCTAATTGCTTCCCAGTGAGGGGGAGGTAGATACACTGGGGCTCTTCCCCTCTAAGCTGCTTACAACATTTTCTAATTTGAAATATTAATTGGGCCAATATTTCTACATATGTAACTGCAGTTTTAGAGGATTGATGCCCTAGGTGGACCCATTCAATAATGACAGGAGAATTTTTATTTTGAAAGATGACTCCAGTGGGACTGTTTGCAGTAGGGATAATTTGTCCCAATAAAGGTAATTCGGGCTGTACTTGTGCTACTTGGGCTGAGGAAATTGCCTGCTCAACCCTTAGCAACTCATTCCTAGCTTCATCTTTTAAAGTTCGGGGAGAAGAGAGATTAGAGTCGCCTCTAAGTAAACTAAATAAATTTGTCATTTCTCCTGTAGAGATCTTCAGATAAGGTCTTAACCAGTTAATGTCCCCTAATAATTTCTGAAAGTCATTTAAAGTTTTAAGACAATCTTTTCTTATCTCCACCTTCTGAGGCCTAATGCTTTGGTTTTCAATTATGGTTCCCAGATATTATAAGGCGTTTCTTTCTGTGCCTTCTCTGGAGCAATTCTTAAGCCCCATTTAGGGAGCTCCTCTTCTAATTGGGAAAACATGGCCAAGGTCTGCTCTTCCCGTGGGCTTGCTAAGAGCAAGTCATCTATGTAATGAATAATGTAACATTGGGAGTATTTGTCCCTTACAGGCTGAACAGCGTGAGCCACATATTTTTGACACAAAGTAGGGCTATTGGCCATTCCTTGAGGTAAAACTTTCCATTGATATATTTCATAGGGATAGAGAGCTAGAAACATCAATGAGAGAAACATTGACCAGCTGCCTCCTGCACACCCCCCACTGGAGATGTACATGCCCTCAACCGGAATCGAACCTGGGACCTTTCAGTCTCTCTCTATCAACCGGAATCGAACCTGGGACCTTTCAGTCCAGTCTCTCTATCCACTGAGCCAAAACCGGTTTTGGCAATGCATATCCTAGATTAGGGGTGTCGAACTCAATCAGAGAAGGGGCCAAAATCTAAAATCCAGCCTAAATCGCGGGCCGAATGGTTTACTGAACAGTCATAAACTGTCATTGTGATGGAAACGCAGCGGAGTGCAGTGATGACAGCGCGGTGCGGGCCACATTGCAAGGCCTGGCGGGACGGATTTGGCCCGCGGGCCTTGTGTTTGACACATGTGTCCTAGATTAATAACACTTAACATTTCTAAGAAAAATACAAGACATAATCAATTAAGAGCTTCAATTCTGCCCTCTAGATTTTTTGAGGCAAATTTAAACTTTACTTTTTTATTTATATAATTAAGCAAACTTAAAAAAAATAAATTAAAAAAAAAAAAAGTGCCACAAGAGTTTGGAGGAAGTTTGTAGCCATTCAAATGCAAATTACGACATTCCTTAGCTTACTGGGAGAGTGCTCTTCCTTATTGGATTGCCACTTGTCTCTCCCTTCCCCCACATCTTGCTTACTTGGGGGAAATTTTAGCAACAGATCTGGCCACACATTTTTTCATGCTTAATAGAGAAAGATCTCAATTTTTTCTTTTTTTGCTTTCTGAAGTAGTAACTAGCACCCAATTTGGCCAAGATAACACCCAATTTGCAAGTCCTTTTATAATTTTTAAACAAAGCATTGAGTAATCTCATTGCGGGAGAGCAGATAGCCTTGCCCTCTCCTGCCACCTTGGAATTTCTCCGCACCAGAGGCGATTCAGCAGTGGAGTTTCACTTCTTATTACAGATTTTAAATTCCAAATACAAACTAAGATTTTAACAAGAAACCACATTCTTTAAGCATACAAAACAAAATCCTATAATAAAATTTACTTTTTTTATAATCTAATTCTTCCCCATTAGCCTGGCTGAAAAAGATGTGCCCACCCTACTTACAGATCCGGATTCTGCACCTGTTTTGTGGGCTTTTGAGTGAGGTGAATTTCCCTCACCTTTTTCCGGTGAATTTTCCCCTCCTTCACTCTAGGCGAAAAATACCATCTCCTCCATAAGTCCGGCATTGAAGGCGCCAGATGTGGGAATCCCTTAACTACACGACCCACGTGGTTCAGGATTCCACTTCAGAGTCCGTGTTCTGAAGGCCGCACACAAAATGCAGAGAGGCTAGAAAAGAGTTAATTTGGGAAAATGGGGGGCCAGGCTGAAGTCCACCTCCAGGGGGACGACCTTAGGTGCTCTGGCCTTTTGCCATCCCTTTTATTGAGGTTCTTAGATAAAGACAACCTTTAGGCAGGAAATTCCAACAACAGAAAATCAACAAAAATTTACATATGATTAACAAATTTAAGTTGCTTCAACTACCACTATCTCAACTAAACAATGAGTTGATAGCTCCGACCATTCAGAGCCATTAAGGTTGGCCAGCTTTTTACTTTTTACTACTAGTCACAGTGACCAAGGGCTCTCACTGGCTTTTTCCCCAGCCAGGCTGGAATGTGCCTGAACAAGACAATCACAGTTAACAGAGCATGATTAATATTTCTTAGAGTTATAGCAGTTCCCAGTGTTCTATTTCTGTCCCTATCATTCCCCACTGCTGTTCCTATCGTCTCATGTTTATGAGATTTGTTTTAGATGAAAAACCTCATCCTGCCAGACTGCATTTGCTTTTGCCTCGATAGGAATTCTTGGGGATGGAACACAGCGAGTGCAGAATCTCAAAATAGGAAGTGATTGAATACAGCAGTAAGCTATCAGACTACAAAAAATAAACAGGAGAAAAAAATTAAGAGAATTCCCACATCCCAGACAGGTTAGGTAGCCAGGAACTTAGGTTGATTAAGTCAAATCCATAAAAAACACACACACAAAACAAACTGTATTTCACCTTGGAGATGATTTCCCTAATTTGTTGAATGTTGTTTTCTATCTAGAATTGTCAGAAAGATTAAGATAGCACATTCCTTTAAATTCCCGAGTCATGGTTATGCTGCAACAGTGAGTAATCTATTGCTGCCCAATTCTCTGGAGCTGTGCCCCTCACCTGGCTCAGCTCTTGATTTATCGCATTTGTAGCATTCAGAGCTTTCACCATGCTACCAGCCAGCCAGGTCACTTCTCCGTGAGGGGCCCACCATCACTGGCATAACAAAGATGCTTAAAGCAATGCAGTCAGCAGGGCTCCGTGGGGAGATGGCCGTTGCGGTCTGGTGCCACAGTGTGAGGAGGTCTCATCTGGTTTGCACCCAGTTATGTTTCTGGGGCCTGAAGACTGTCAGTCGTGCTAAGGAACAAGGCCCCTCGGTGCTGTTGGCAGGGATATATGAATAAAGTTTCCCACACACCAGAAACCAGCAGGCCAGCAGCTTAGATGTCCCTTTCTATAAGGCAGAGTGAAATTATCAAAGCAATTCATATTGTACTTATTAGATGCTAAAAGACAATAACTAGAACACACAGTAAAAGACATTCCACACAGAAAGCCATTGCAACTTTTAAAGAAAACATCCCTGCATCCTGATAGATTAAATAGAGAAGGCAGACCGGAGACTGGGTGGCAGGACACACGCAGGCTTTATTGGAGGGAAGAGTACCCCTGCCGGCTGCTTCCACGAAGAGGGGCGGGAGAGAGCTAGCGCCAGTGTACCAGCACCTTTAAGGATAGGGGGCGGGGCTTAGGGCACTCAGCACATGCCGATTGGTGATTAGGGACCTGAGGACTTAGGAATGGGGAGGAGGGGTATAGGGTATTTGGCAGGTGCTGATTTGTGGTTCAGAGCTCAGGAATGTCTGGCCGCAGATGGGGTTTACATCTGTCCATCAACTGGAGAAAGGGAGGATCTATCACATCCTATTCCCAGACAGTGGGTCCCAACTTATAAAAGTCCCCATATGTGACTTGCTTCCCAAAAGGAATAGAATAATCTTTACATATTGGCAATAGTTGTCCCATTAGGCTACATGTAAAGGTCCATTCTGCATACGTTCCTCCACTGCAGGCGGCAGAGCAGTTGGAGTAGTGAGAAGCTTGTTTCATGGGCCTGTCCATTTCTCCTTCGGTTGGCTGAAGTGACACAGATGAGCAGACACTAACACCTTCTCCCGGAGTGTGCGTCTCGCTCCCTGCGCTTAGCACTGGGACGAGGTGAGGGCAGCCAGCGGCGGCCACGGCCACTTCCCGTCCCTGACGCACCAGGGAAATCAGGTGCCACAGACCCGGCCCTGCTGAGAGTGGTTGGTGCTGGATGGTCGTTGTCCTTCGGTGGAGCCGTAGCAGTGTGTCTGCAGAGGGGGCGGCACGGAGGGAGCAGGTAGGGGTCAGAGGCATTCCTTCGCTCCCAGGGACCACAGGTGTTTGAACACAGAGCTGGGGGGTTTGTTCTGAAGCCAGTGGGGTTGGGGGTTAGAGGACCCGGTGCATGTGTTAATTCAGCACCTGTGAGGGCACCAGGCAGGGCTCCTCAGAGCCCAGGGCAGCAGGTCTGTGTGTCCTCCACCTCGCACATGGCCTCGGTGTCCTGTGTGGCAGAGCACCAGCGTGTCACCGCTGTGTCACCGTCACCGGGGAGAGCAGGTTGACTTTAGGCAGCTGTGTTGAGCCCCGTGGAGGGAGGCCTTACTAACACCCGCAGCACACTTTGATGTGAGGGAAGCAGCCCCGCTGGGGGGTGGGGGTGGGTGGGGAGGAGTGTTTTGGTGGGGGGACTCACAGTTGGCTGATTGTCCACAGGTGCTGACCAGGGGAGGGCTAGGCCTTTAAGTGCCCGGCCTCACGGCGTCGCCTGGATTGTGCCGGGGCAGCAGGAGCCATGGCGCCCGAGAGGAGGCTGCTGGTCCCAGCCCTGGCGCTGCTCTGCTTGCTGCCGCCTGGGCCTGGGAGCCGCGCAGAGGAAGGTACGTGCACCCTCGCCACCATCTGGCAGTGCCTCTTGTTTTTGCCTGAGCCCAGCTAGTGACCCAACTGTGCCTGGGCACTGCCTGCTCCGCGTGCTGGCCGGGGAGGCTGGGTGCCGGGGAGGCTGGGTGCCGGGGAGGCTGGGTGCTTGGGAGACTGTGTGCTGGGGAGGCTGGGTGCTGGGGAGGCTGGGTGCTGGGGAGGCTGGGTGCCGGGGAGGCTGGGTGCCGAGAGGCTGAGTGCTGGGGAGGCTGGGTGCCGAGAGGCTGGGTGCCAGGAGGGCTGGGTGCTGGGGAGGCTGGGTGCTGGGGAGGCTGGGTTCCGGGGAGGCTGGGTGCCGGGAGGGCTGGGTGCTGGGGAGGCTGGGTGCTGGGGAGGCTGGGTTCCGGGGAGGCTGGGTGCCAGGAGGGCTGGGTGCTGGGGAGGCTGGGTGCCGGGAGGGCTGGGTGCTGGGGAGGCTGGGTGCTGGGAAGGCTGGGTGCCACTAGGCTGGGTGCTGGGAGGGCTGGGTGCTGGGGAGGCTGGGTGCCGGGGAGGCTGGGTGCCGGGAGGCTGGGTGCTAGGAGGGCTGGGTGCTGGGGAGGCTGAGTGATGGGGAGGCTGGGTGCCGGGAGGGCTCTTATCGCTCTTAAGTAGCAATGTTCCTCTTGATTGGTGTCCCCTAAGTACTGTGTCTTGTGGAGTCAGGAGGAGCAGAACCAAACACTGGTCATTAAATCTGAAATACAGAATTTGTGGCTAAAAAATCCAAATAGGCCTTTGTTCATCAACTTAGTGGAGACAAAGGACAGTGGTTAGCTAGGCGCATGCTTTGCTTCCGAGGCTCCTGGCTTTTGCCCTGCACAATGGCCCCCACCCCCTTAATCCAGGCCTCAGGGACCCCACCCAGCACGCCCTGGTGAGTCTGCTTCCTAAGGAGGAGCTGGGTGGGGATTTCCTAAAAGGAGCCATTCTCAAAGCCATTTAAGTAATTGCATCAGAATATTTGTCCTGTGAGTAGCCTTGGAAACTCCAAGTGACGCTGTCCTGCTTCGGGGCAGCTCATGGTCCTGTGTGCTGATGACCATGGGGTCAGGCCCCAGGTGGGGACAACAGGTTGCCCTCAGCCCGCCCACCCAGAGCCAGCCACCAGGACACTCCCTGGTGATAGTCATTCTGTGTCCGGACACTGAGCCTGGACACGTGGCCAATGTGATGGAGAAACTAACCCTAACCTCTTAACCTTACTGTGTTTTAATATGTTTTTATTGGTTTCAGACAGGAAGGGAGAGGGAGAGAGAGATAGAAACATCAATGATGAGAGAGAATCACTGATCGGCTGCCCCACCACATGGGGAATTGAGCCTGCAACCTGACCATGAGCCCTGACCGGGAATCACACTGTGACCTCCTGGTTCACAGGTTGATGCTCAGCCACTGAACCACGCCAGCGGGGCTTAACCTTATTTGTTTGGAATTAAGCTCAGGCAGCTCTGTGGCTATGGCCAGCACGTGGGGCGGACACAAGGGACAGTTCTCCTTGTCTTCCCGGGTTAACTGTGTGGCCTTGCACACTTTACTCCTGGGCCGTGCCGAGTATGTCCGGACCCCCCCACGCCCTCCCCCAGGGGGGAGTTAAAAGGTGGAGCAGGGTGCCTCCTCTGGTCCCTCTGACCTGTGGGGTGGGTGCCAGCTCAGTGGGCAGGTGGCTCGAGCAGTGGGCAGGCAGTCGATACCTGGGAGCTCACCTGGAAATGCAGCCCGTCCTCCTCAGCTGGGAGCTGCCTGTTAGCACGCACAGATGGGCAACCAGAGCCGACAGTCTTTGGCATACCCACAGGCCTTTGCAAATCTCCAGCCTGCGCTACCTGTAAACCGCTTATGTGGCATACCTTGTGCCTACTTCCCCATCAGTCTTCTGACTGTGTAATGCCCTCCTCCGGTCAGAGGACACCTCAGGCCTCAGAGGGGACTCTGTCTGCAGTGGTCCTCCTGTAGGCACAGGACGCGGACAGGAAAGCACGCACTTCCTGAAGGGGCTGCCGCCTGAGCCACAAAACACCCTTCTTCTCCGAGTGAATACTGATCCTCACCGTCTGGAGGCAGAGGGAGGGATCGGGGCCACCCCACATGAAAGAGGCTGGGGTGGGGACAGCGAGCATGCCCACAGCCGTCCCCCGAGCCCTTGTCCACAGGATCTGGCCTTGGCAGTCCTGCAGGCCCGGAGAGATGGCGGCGAGCAGACACGTGGCCCCTGCGTGAAGCACGCTTGATCAGACAGCTTCTGAGGGCGGTAGAATGCATTTCTGATCAGGAGGGGGTCTCTGGGCGTCCTTTTGTCCACGGTGCGATGCGTGTCCTGACACAAGGGCGCTGCTCCCTCTCACGGTCTTCCAGGGGATGGCCACCGCCGCGGTGACCGGCCCCCAGCAGGGAAGACCGCAGTGCCCACGGCCCAGGAGCCAGCCCCCGGAGCTCCCGGTGACCAGGAGAGGCGAGCA